ACTACTACGTATTTTTTGAATTAAAATAAGTTCACTGAACACAATTTACCTCTATTTAAAAATGCTTCGTTTGTCCGCTAGAGGGCATCAAACTTAAAAAAAATAAACACATTTTTTCAAATATTTTAAGAACCGTTAATCCGATTTGAATAAGATTTTTGGTGTCTGTGTTTTGCTAAGTGCTTTAACATTTGAGATTCAAAAAATTCAAGAAAAAGAGTACGTGACGGGTGAAAACTATCCCCACCACTACATAAACTCCACCGATAACAGATTTTCTTTTCGTAAAATGGTCCCTCTAGTATTTACTACATTTTTTGTCTCATGTAAAAAACTCACATCGCATAGTTTTTTTGCGAAAAAATTTTTTGAAGTTTACTTTTAAGTTTGATGCCGTCTAGCGGACAAACGAAGCACTTTTGTATAGAGGTAAATTGGGTCCAATAAACTTATTTTGATTCCAAAAATACGTAGTAGGTCTATGTCCACGGAAATTGGGACACCCTGTATATTGTGATTAGACACATAAAGGTGCGTTCACACCGGCTGCGCCGCTCCCCGCAAAACATTTTTTAACATGTACTTTTTTAGCGCGCACAAAATTATATGTAAAAAAATGATTGTAAACGCACCTTAACGATCGAACGTGCAGAGTTAGATATAGCAAAGAAGGAATTCAAATGTTATTATAATGTATATTTTATTATTTTAATAACACGTAGGTATTCTGGTATTGACTAGTTATATTTGGAAACAAATACATTTATTTGGTTTTTAATAATACAGTATTTAGTTTTCAGAAATGAAATAAAATTCTCGTAATTGCAAACCAATATTTAAAACCCACTTGACCACATTGTCATTTAGGAACTCAATTTAAGTGTTTTTTTTTTATTTTCATTTGTGGTATTTGCTGGTATACAATAATTAGTTATGCTTTTTTATTTTTCTCAGAATTATTATATTTATATTATTTATCTACCAAAGTTTTAGGAATTTTATAATTTTACATAAATACATATGTATATTTTTATATATTACTTTTTTTAGAGATTTCATTTAATATTTATGATCATGGTGCCTCTTTTCTATATGCTTTTTAAATTTGCGCTCATACTATGTTTGTTTCGAATTTATGCTGTTTGATGCCATTTTGTCCCTGCTTGGTTTCTAATGTTGTATCTCATCTTATAATAGCTCGTTTGTTTTTCCTTTACCTCCCCTTTGTTATTAGAGTCATTTTATTTTGACCATCACGTCTGTTATCTCGACCTTCTGTTTTATTCAATCTACCCTCTTGTGGTCTCTCTATATACAGGGTGCTACAAATTCGAGGTACGAGCATTGGTATCTCGGTAACCGTAATAGATACGAACATGGTTAAATTGGGGCAAAGTTGCGCTTTAGGATATTCACCAAGATGTCATCAAATAAGTTTTAAAAATTTCAAGGATTGCTGAGTTATTAGAAAAAAAACGATTTTTTTTAAATCTAAACCAACCAATCAAACCAAACCAACCAAACCCCAAAACTAATTGCACATTTTCATGGTCACTTTATTAAGGTTACCTGACACTATTTTTAGATTTTCAAACTAGCTGATGATAATTTGTGAAAAACCAACTTATTTTTTTAAATACGGGCCTGCATTTTTTATTTCAGATTTTGAAAGAACTCGGCCTCCTGAGTACAATGATATGCCACACTCGATACTTTTTTTGTTTTGGGTAACTTAACAAAAACAAAACTATTTAATTGTTATTTAAAATAATTTCAAATCCGGCTCTGGTTTTTTAATCTATTTAATCTGATTATATTCATCACAACATTATTGATCAGTGTATTCCACTGAGACTATTGAAGACATTAGAAGTTTCTGGAGAACTACAGTATTTAGATCGGAAATTTTTTGCACATCATTGTTTTATAACGAGGTATATCGATTAAAAATATTTTCAATATGGCGGCACTTCCAGAAATGCCGGAAGTTGACTGCAACTTTCTTATTTTAAATGAGTGCCCTCATTTTTCATTACATACTTAAATTATTACCCCCCTGTTCTTCAGTAAGTGTCAAACAGTCAGACTATTTCAGACCAAACAGTCCAGAGCTTCATTAACTTTTAAACAATTAGACCATTTATTTACTTATGTCAGAAAACTTTTATTATTTGATTTATATACAGGGTGGCGCACCTCATTCTCCTCGGTTGATTATACGAAAACGGAAAGATGTAGAAACAAAATATTTTAGGGATATATGTGGGGAGACAATGTGTACAATTTAAAATTATTTTGAAATATACAGGGTGTTTCAGAACTAAGATCCATACCAAAGTTATATTTTTTCTTATGGAACACCCGGTATTTTATTTCATTTTTCGATTCTTGGGCCCAAAAAAAGACATTTATTATAAGGATTAAATATGTTTAAAATCTTTAGTTTTTGAGATATTTAAAGATATTTAAATTTGCATGCTACAATATAATAGACTATTAACACCCTGTACATTACTTTTCGGAATTAATTCTTATGTTGAGTTTAAAGGTAGAGAAATAAACTTTACTGAAAAATGGTATTGGTTCCTTCAATTTATACAGGGCTATCAAAAGTTGCTGATCTATTTTAAGGATATATTTTATATAAAAACTTTGTTATTTCAAATATAACACCCTGTATTTTTTTTGAATAAATCGAATCAGTCTTAAATGCTCTTTCAAACTATATTAGGGTTTCCTATACCTATCTAGCTCAGATTTTGAATAAAAAGCGATTTTTAAATAAAATTGTAATCAAGATGGCTGGTGTCGCCATGGCAATTTTCTAGTGACAGTTAGTAACTATTTTCAAAGTCGACAATAGTTTATGGACATTATTATTTATAATTTATAACAGTTTACTTAAATTTACCTACAATAGTTTAATAAGTAAGAGAGTATTCATTATTTTATCAAGAAAAATAAAACAGTATCAGCCGGCGGAATGAATAGATATGTTACTAGTGATATTATTTTGTTAGGAAAATTGCTTTTTGGCATCAAGGGCTTATGCTCAAAGATATCCAAATAGGAATCTTCCTGATAAGAGTTTCTTTGAAAAACTTCTTGTTCCATTTCACCTGGTAGTGTGGTTTATAAAAAAACTATTAGGCAGAAACCTGTCGTTGGAAGTGAAGAAAATGAATTTGCCGTAATTGGCTCTTTTATAGAAAATCCATGTATCTACAAGTCATCGTAAAATAATTCAAAGACTACTTCTTCGTTTTTCTTGATAGAATAATAAACACATTTAATAAATATTATTTATTAAACTATTGTAGGTAAATTAAATAAAAGTAAACTGGTTTAAGTAAGTCCATAAACTAATTTCGATTGTGAAAATAGCTACTAACTGTCACTAGAAACTTGCCATGACAACACTAGCCATCTTGATTACAATTTTATTGAAAAATGGCTTTTTATTCAAAATCTGAGCCAGATAGATATAGGAAACCCTAATATAGTTTGAAAGAGCATTTAAATCTGCTTCGACTTATTTAAAAAAATACATAGAGTTGCATTTGAAATAATGAAGTTTTTATGTAAAATAAATATTTAAAATAGACCAACAATTTTTGATGCCCCTGTATAAATTGAAGGAACCAATACCATTTTTCAGTAAAGTTTATTTCTCTACCTTTAAACTCAACATAAGAATTAATTCCGAAAAGTAATGTACAGGGTGTTAATAGTCTATTCTATTGTAGCATGCAAATTTAAATATCTTTAAATATCTCAAAAACTAAAGATTTTAAACATATTTAACCCTTATAATAAATACCTTTTTTTGGGCCCAAGAATCCAAAACTGAAATAAAATACCGGGTGTTCCATAAGAAAAAATATAACTTTGGTATGGATCTTAGTTCTGAAACACCATGTACATTTCAAAATAATTTTAAATTATGCACATTACCTCCCCACATATACCCATAAAATATTTTGTTTCTACATCTTCCCGTTTTCGTATAATCAACCGAGGCGAATGAGGTGCGCCACCCTGTATATTATAAATACTGCTACCTTAACGCTTTATAAACTGTATTTATAAAAATATATCTTGTATTTTTGCTCTTTAGTGATATTTAATAGTTGATATTATTTATAATCAAAAAAGGCTCAAAGTTTGCTTGGAAATGACATGACCAGATATTGTTTCACATCACTTGATGTTTTAAAGTCATAGGCTACTGGTTAAAATTAAAAAATTGTACGCTTTAATACTAAATGTTTAAAAACCTAAAAACTATTTACTTTTACTATAGAAACATGTATAAAGTAACGGATTAAAAAGCCTGTTCTTAGTGAAATAAAAAAGTGGGTTTCTATTTGCAAAAAATGAATGAATTTTTTCGTTCAATTCAATGACAGCTACGGCCAATACTATATATTATGACATTCGAACAATTTAATTTTTGAAATAAATAGCCTGATGTCTTTTCTTTATGGCGCTATATCTGTGCTAATCACTATATTTGACGCGTTTAAGCAATATACACTTTTTTTGACAGGCAGTTTTTTTTCCTCAAAAAATTTTAAATATTTTTTTTTCTCAAAAGCACTAGATATCCTCCTGGATTTCTCCAGTCATATTATCCTTTTCAAAATATTTTTTGTAAAATATATCTTTTTGTTTTTACCAATTATACCAATTTCTCTATAAATATTATGTTTTTCATTTGTTATAAAACTATTAAATGATTTAACCGAAACAAAAATGGTGAATCTGATCGTATAAAATCTCATTCATTGTTTCGATAAAATTCTGATTACCTGTTTGAGGTCTTTGATTTCAAAAATAAAGGAAATAACGTAAACAAATAGAATTACATATTATATTATCCCACTTGTTTTGTCTACTAAAATAAGCTTGTAAAATCCGAAAATTTGGCTCGGTGCCGCATCTCTAATGGCGTCAAATTGAGAGGGTCCGAATCGGTGTCTTGGCAAATTTCTGAATTTTCCGGCGTGTAGTAGTGATCGGTATTCGCGAGTGTTGATGCGGTGTGAATGAGAATGTTCAATGCGATTAGGGACTTGTTCGATTGTGGAATCTATCACGAAATCAGAAAAACTGGCGGAGTTCACAATGAACCAACAGGTACATTCATTAAATATACAGGGCTTTATTTCGAGGAAGTCCAATATCGTCGTGTGTGACAAAGATATGAAAAAAGTTTTATAAATTGCATGGTTTATAATGGTGGATATTCAAAAAATATTTTGTTGAATATTGGGTGTCCCAAAAAAAAATATGATAAAGAGATTTTTTTTTAAATTGTATCCCCTATTTTTCTGTACAGGGTGGGTCAAATTCGACGCTTTTAAATGGAAACACCCTTTTCTATAAGAGATAGACAAAAATTAATATCGGTGTCTGGAGCTCAATTTTTGTAAAAAACATGATGGTGAAAACCGCAAATCGATATCTGTTACCGTTTCGGAGTTACGGGGTGTTTTTCAAAAATATGCATTTTTAACTCAATTACAACTTTAGTTACAACTCAAATCGCTGTAACTTTTTTGCTATGGAAAATTTTGTATTTTTATGAAAACATTTCCAAAGCACCTTTTTACGTAGAATTTAATGGTTTAAGTATAATATTTTTAAAATTAATAATTTAAGAATTACCAACAGAAAATTTGATTTTTTATATGGGACACCCTGTATATTTTTAATTTATAGAAAATAATTTAAAATTACCTTTCCAAAAATATAACACACTTGATATTTTGCTCGATTTCACTTCGAGATATAGAGTATATAAAAAAATAAAAATTCGCCCGCTTTAAATAAGTAGGCTTTGAACGGCACCGGCTGTAATGCAAACAAATTCTAGCTGTGAGCATCAATTAAAAGGGAAATAATATTTGCTATGAGAGATGCAGAATTTTATAACAATTTAAAATATATTTAACCAACATCAACACATTTAAACTATATCTAATAACAATAAAAATAAATAGCAAACTAAGACATGAGGTTTTGCTACAAGTGTTCGACATATCGACCGTCTTCTGTTATGGACAGACGGGACAGTTTTTGAACATTTCTCGCGGAATTCATTAACTCAGAGGGGGTGAAAGGTACCCTCTCATAACTTCTAAGTATTTCTAATTCTTGTCTAGATTATACGGAAGAATGAGGAACCTTTATTCTTCTGCAAATATATCCATAGGATTAGATCCATGGACACTAAGTCAGGCGGCCTCGACGGCCAACGGCTGGGATCTTGGTTAACTATTCAAATATTCTTGAAATTGGCTGAAAATTTGCTGATAACTTCAGCGTCCAGAGGCGGTGCGTCGTCTTGCTGGAAAAATATGTTTTCGAGTTCCATTAAGGGAATATCATCAATAAGGGGTCCAAAGCCTACTAGTTAAAAGTGGCGAACTTTTAAAAACTCTGTATTTCAAAGGGGATTATGACAAAATATCAAGTGTGCTATATTTTTGGAATGGTAATTTTAAATTCTTTTCAGTTAATTAAAAATATAGAGGGTGTCCCAAATAAAAAATCAATTTTTCTGTTGATAACTCTTAAATTATTAATTTTAAAAAAATTAAGTATAATATTTAACCAAACCATTAAATTCTACGTAAAAAGATGCTTTGGAAATGTTTTCATGGAAATATAAAATTTTCCAAAGCAAAAAAGTTTCCAAGCACCAGCGATTTGTTAAAAATGCACATTTTCGAAAAACACCCCGTAACTCCGAAACGGTAACAGATATTGATGTGCGGTTTTCACCATCATGTTTTTGATGAACATTGAGCTCCAGACACCGATATTAGTTTTCGTTTATCTCCTATAGAAAAGGGTGTTTCCATTTAAAAGCGTCGAATTTGACCCACCCTGTACACAATTGGATTCAAATTCTACATATAGTACATTATTTTTATTTGAAGCACTATGCGGTGTTGCTATTTTATTTCTTATTTATTAAAACTTTAAACATAACCGAAAAACGGTGAAAAACGGTTAAAAACACTATATCCGAAAAGTGTTTAAAAACTGGAGTGAATATATAATAAAAACTTAGCTGTATTTTTTCAAATACCAAGGATCACAAAATAAATCTGCGAAGGAAAATTTACAATATCCTATATTAGGTATTTCTTATGGCGTTGTCAAAATTACAATATTTAAAGCGCTGTATCGCTATTTCTTTAAATAAGACATCATGTAGGTATGTTATTTTTCATTTTTTTTTAATTCTGTATCTAAAAGAAAAATAATATACGGGGTCTTACATTTAAAAAAAATGAGATATAGCATTGTAAATATTGCGATCTTAGGGACGCCATAAAGTTTACCCTGTATTAGGTAATGTAAATTTTCCTTCTCGGGCTTATTCTGTTATCCTATCCTAGTGTTTTTGGCAAAATTTCAGTTAATATGGAATAGAACGGCAAAAGCGATTTTCGGATTCTAGGTAAAAAATAAAGGTAAGTTTAATTAAAGCAGCATATGCCTAAAACGTAAGGATTTTTACATATTTCACATTTTGTGAAAATGAAGAATAAATTTTAAATTACAATAACAGCTACCTAAATTATAATTTACCCTGTATAGCCTGACATTTAATTGCAATAATCAATGTAGGTATGTTAAACCCATTTAAAATTTGACCCGAAAAGTTATACGGTGTGAGACAAAATTAATATTGAACATGGGTCACATTTAAAAGCAAGTTACTCCTTTATTTTAAATGTATAGAACACCCAGTATATTACTCTGGTATTCAATGGAGAATTCATATATCTTGAAAATTTTATTACGGTTGCCTATCCCCCAGACAAAGATTTTCCTAGATATTTTTATTTTCATGATTTTGCGACAGTAGATCTTTATTGTTTGAAAAAGTCTAGTTGGCTGTGATATAGCTTTTGTTAATTTAACAAAAATTAAAGAATGTAGAGTAAAATACTCAACGATAATAAAAAGATATACGTTTAAGATATATTTTTATTATTACAGAATTAAAACTATACTCTGTTTTTTTCCTCAGGTAAGATTTCGACAGACGATGACAGAAAAAAAGCAGATGACTTCCATACCAATCCATTTATTTCACTAAAAAAAGTTTCTAATATTTTTTAAGTTAACTATGAATGGGTTTATAAATAAATACGTCATGCGTCGTCTCTTATTGTTTTTAACCAGTTTTATTGGTTTATTTTAAAAATGACAGATCCTATTTCAATATTATTGGTTTGACCAAAGGTTTGACGCAACGATGAACGACAAACGGACGCCTATGCGTACGAACTCGACTTAAGATTTTTGAGAATTGTCAAACTCTTGCCAAATTATAGGTTATAATTTTGTGTCAAATTATGTCAAATAGAAATGATAAATATTTTGCATTTTGCATTTTGGACTGTGTTGTTACTTGTGTTTCGCCTTTTTTAAAATTAAGTGGAGGAAAACTCGAGGGAAAATTAAGTGTTGACCCAGACCATAGTTTACAGTTAATATTTGGTGCACAGTTTACCAGAGACTATGGCCAGAGAGTTGTATTAGCCACAAATAAAGTTGTATACCATCTCGTATATGTACCAAAAACTGGAGTATCTGTAAAATAACATCACACGACAGGTAAATAATACATTTTAGTACTGCAGAAACAAATTAAGATTAAAGTTAATTAACCAATATTAGATTTTTTCAGTTTTATACAGTTTTTTTCACAATATTTTGAAGTAATCACTTCTCGCTCAAAATTTAAATGTATTAATTATGCGTTCCAATTGTACCAACTTATTTCTTTGTAAAATAAAATAAACTACTTTGGAATTAAAATGACAGACACATCTATCACTGTCAAGGATTTTGTCGTTGGACAGACTATAGATATAAACGTATTGTAACAACAATTAGCTAGATAAAACTAAACGCTCAAATTGCTTCCTTTCCTATTCACTGCATAAAATTATTCTCTTTTCAACAGATCATTTCATGTTAAAAGGCATATGTGGAGTTCTACTTCGAAAAGCAGCTACACTTATTTCTCTCATGTTGTCGACAATAGTTGGTCGAGTTTTGTAAACACTCTCTTTAATATATCCGCATAAAAAATAAAAACCCAGACGATAAAATCAAGAGCATTTAAGTATTCTATTAATTGGTTAATGCACACTACATTCACTAACTAATAGAATCATATCAATTCTCTTTGATCTACGATAAGTTTCCAGTTTTGGTAATTTCTGAGAATATTTTCGGTTTTAACAAACATAAAATGATAATTAGTTGTAAAAATTTATCTAATTATACAGGTATGTTGAAGTAACGTCAGACACATCACAGGCACCTAGATTTGATCAAATAATAAAGATCTACTGATATTGAATCATAAAAATGAAAATATCTAGCAAAATCTTTGTTATAGAAGTAGGCAACCTTAATAGTATTTTGAAGGGAAATTAATTCCCCCTTGAATATCGGAACAATATACTGGGTGTTCCATTTAAAATAAAAGTGTAACTTGCTTTTAGAGGTGACCAATGTTTAATATTAATTTTGTCTTACCCTGTATAAATTTTTGGGTCAAGATTTAATTTGATTTAAAATACAATAGTTATTTCAACTACATATTAGGCTATACCGGGTAAATTCCAATTTAAGTAGCTTTTATTGAAATTTAAAAATTGTGCTCCATTTTTAGAAAATGTTATATAAGCCAAAACCCTTACCTTTTAGTTATATACTTCTCTAATAAAACTCACCTTTATTTTTCTTCTAGAATCCCAAAATCAATTAATATATAGGGTGTTCCATTACAAAAAAGGAACTTTTTTTGAGGACACCATGTAGAACTCTTTATTTTTAAAAAGTGCTCTAAATTAACCTACATAAAAATCCTCTATGGGTATTTCGCCACTGCACTGTAAGAAAATCTACAAAATAAAATAATTATTTTCTGTAAACACTTCTGCGTTAAACCTAAACGGACACTGCTTGTCAGAAGTTATGTTTACGGTAATACAAATTTGCCTAACAAAGCAAAAAAAAATGCTTAACGTTTCGGAAAGTTATCTCTTTCCGTCGTCGGAAGCAAAAAAATAAAAAGAATAAAGGAAAAAAAAACTATTTAAAAAATTTAAATTCAACTATTCGAGAACATTTTACTTTTTTAAAACAGATACGTCTACAAGAAACCGTTGACGTTCTGTTGTTTTGGTTTCTTGTAGACGTATCTGTTTTAAAAAAGTAAAGTGTTCTCGAATAGTTGAATTTAAATATTTTAAATAGTTTTTTTTCTTTATTCTTTGTATTTTTTTGCTTCCGACGACGGAAAGAGATAACTTTCCGAAACGTTAAGCATTTTTTTTGCTTTGTTAGGCAAATTTGTATTACCGTAAACATAACTTCTGATAAGCAGCGTCCGTTTAGGTTTAACGCCAGAAGTGTTTACAAAAAATAATTATTTTATTTTTTGGATTTTCTTACAGTGCAGTGGCGAAATACCCATACAGGATTTTTTTGGAAAGATGAATCCGCCACATAGATACAGACATTTTTTAACCTACATACGCTCACAAAATTTCATTTCAATACAAACTATCGTTCTCCTTGGAGCCTGCGAGTCGTATAAGAGCCGCTACCATAATAAATGTAATTTGTTTGATAACACTTCAAATTGTTGATTCATATCATGAAATTGGAGTAGAGATCTCAATAAATCAACAGGTATTTTCTGTTATAGATATATTTTTCTTTTATAAAATAAGACGTAGTAAATTAAGTTGTTGGATAATCGGGGTTGTGATCGTGAGATATCCAGTTTAGTGGACATTGTTTGTTGATCCTCTGGAACTTATGTCTAATAATAGATCCATCCACTATGTAAGATATATTAATCTTTGTTTGAAATATACATGGTGAATATACTGTAAAGGATTCAATTAAAAAGCATGACTATAATTACCGTTATTTTTATACATGTTATTTTTTGGAAGAACTGTAGAGTTGTATGCACCGTTAAATTTAAGACTGATATGTTCATAATTGTTATTGCCTTTTGAAAGTAATAAGTAACAACTGTTACAAGCTTGCTAAAACTCGTGACGAGACGATTCTGAGGTTATATCGCGAGTGGTAGTCAGCCCATCTATATTTTCCTACCTGTTATTTTTTGGAAGAACTGTTATTTACGAACGCAGTAAAATTTGGGACTGTTATTTTCTAAGTTGTTATTTTCTTTTGGAATTAATGGTAATAAAATAATACATAACAACTGTTGCAACTGTTGCGGTCTCAGAGAATTGTTATTTTCAAACTGTTTTTTTTAAGTATCGACTTATCATGATTTCTTATTATATATTATATATTTAAACCTCTATCGCGCATATAACGAACCATCACGGTTAGAGCACTGTTATTTCCAAACTGTTATTTTTAGTAAGTAACGACTGTTTGATGATTTCTTATTATAACTGATATATTCAAACCACTATTGCGGGCTCTTTAAAATTTAGCGACGCAGCGATACTTCACATAACGAACCATCACTGTCAGTGCATTATTATTTTCGAACTGTTATTTTTCGAAAATAACGACTGTTTGATTATTTCTTATTAAAACTGATATATTCAAACCACTATTTCGAGTTCGTTAAAATTTAGTGGCCGAGATAGATGCCGACATAACATAACGAACCATCACTGTCAGAACACTGTTATTTTCAATTAATATCTACAATATTTATTTGACAAAAATTTTTAGTTTTCAATATGTTACATTGAATCAGCATTTTTTTCTTTTACGTTTTATATAATAGACGGAATTTGTGTATTAAATTAAAACATCATTTTGATCAAATAAGTAATTTTTTATATCACATAAAAATGAATAATAATGTAAGACTGCAAGGGTCTTGCATTATTGATCTTGGTCTTGTGGAAGTCTTCCACTGGTCGGCCTTAGTCTTGCTTTTTTTACAAAACTAAGGCCAGTCTCGCCCATTACTAAGCGATGCCAACTTCACATCACTACCTAACCCTATCAGCGCACTGTTATTTTCAAACTGTTATTCTCTGGACTGTTATTTGACGATACCTTATTGTATAAAATATTTAATTCACCATTTTTTCTAACCTCTTTTTTGTTGTGTATTTTCAGAAAGCGGCGTTCAATGGCGTGGCAGCCGGGGGGGCGGCCTCGGCCACAACGGCGTCAGCACCAACACCGGATTCGGGACCGGGGGCGGCGGGGGCGACCAGAGAAACGGCGGGGGCGCCCAGGAGAAGGCCTGCGGAGCGGGGCCTGACCAGCTGGAGGGGCCGGGCCCAACTGAGAATGACCCTATTCACCTCAAGAGACGGGTGGGACTCGTCAGTGGGGTGGCTTTAATTGTCGGAACGATGATCGGTGAGTATCTTCTATCTCCTAATATGTTAATAAGAGAATCATGAAATAAAAGAATCTAATATACAGTTCTAACTACGATTCAATAAGTACGAAATAAAGTAGGTTCCCGACCATTACTACAGGAGTTGGTAGCTTGTGTGCCACTTGTGGAAGCTGGGCTCGCGCAAGTGTCAGCTGCATCTTCTGTAGTTCCTTTTGGGGTTGGTTTCTTGAAACTTGCACTGTTAATGTTCCCACTAACGACAAGTCTCTTCTAGAGGAAGCGGTTATTACAATTCAATAAGTACCAAATAAACTGGAATAGTATTGCGATATGTAAAAAAATATAGGAATTTGGAAGTAATTTCAGCATGCTTAAAACTGTTATCTTTGATAAAAATTTGCTGCCTTAAACATGGGGCTGTCAAAAGTTTGTATTAGACTTTTTGAAGAGGCATTAAAGTTGTACGTTTTTCTAGAATTTCGTTTCATTTTGAATAGGCATTTAAAAGTTATTTGCAAAAATCCACCTTCAAATTAGTAAAATTTATAATACGACCCAGAAAAAGCTACAATAAATACTAGCAAAAATGTTATTTTCATACTATACAAGAATTTGAAGGTACCAAACAGAGTAATTTTGTATAAAATAATTATGATTTTCACAACTGAAAAGGTTACTATTGTTAAACGGCATTTTGCTACAAATATTATTCCCGCATTGTTATAGGTATAGCCTATACATACAATTAGTGTTTCCAATTTTCGGAATCGGAATCTTGTTCTGAAATCCCCGAATTAGAACCTATAATCCCGGGATCCTGGGATTGATTATTGGAATCAGAAATTTCATCTAAAGAAATACTTAATAAAAATGCAGCTACATACTATATCAAAAAGAAAATGAGAAAAGAGATTTATAAAAATAGACAAAACAAAATAACATAAGTAAAATAAAATGTTTCAATTCATAAGTAACAAAAAATGTTTACAATTTTTGTTGCAAAAAAAACAAAATAGAGCAAATACGTAAGTAAAGCTTATTAGTACATATTTTGAGTCTAAAAATTAAATTTTCAATATAAATAGGAAAATTTGTAAAATAGAAAATTAGAACAAGAGGCTGATTTATTTTAGAGCAAGATAAAAAATGTAGTCTTTTAATTTGCTAACTGAATTTTTCTGGTGATGCGCCCAAAAAACAATAATTTTTTTTTTGTGTTAAATCAACTATCTATGCTATTAAATACATATATGTGGATATTCTATTTAGAAAAAAAAATGATTCAATGGTAAATAATGTTACAATACGAATTTCATTGCGATTTTTTAATGAAATTATAAGAACTTCCTTCCAACACGGGGCATAGGAAATCCTATGTAAATTTTGTAAAGGTCAAATATTATCTCCCCAGATAATTTTACGCAAAAGTAGTATTAAATTTTTTTGAAGAGGCATTAAAGTTGTACGTTTTTCTAGAATTTCGTTTCATTTTGAATAGGCATTTAAAAGTTATTTGCAAAAATCTACTTTCAAATTAGTAAAATTTATAATACGGCCCAGAGAAAGCTACAACAAATACCAGCAAAAATGTTATTTTGACACTATACAGGAATTTGAAGATACCAAACAGAGTAATTTTGTACAAAATAATTATGATTTTCACAACTTCTGAAAAAGTTACGATTGTTAAACGGCATTTTGCTATAAATATTATTATCTTGAGATTTAATATCGGGATTTTGAGGGATAAATATACACCGGGATCCAGCTACACAGATCTGATAAAGATTGTTTGTATCACAAGGACATTCCATTTAGACAGTCTATGTTTTGCTGACAAATTTACTCATCCTAATTTAGTTGTTGACTTAAATGTAAATGACTAATTATACGAAGTAAAATAATATTTAGACTTGTGTGAAATACATTAAAAATAAATATTAATATCTGATGACAATTGATAGTAAAAAACTATTTATCCTGTTTGGTCATCGAACCATATTTCAGATAAACCTTTTTTATAACGCAATACTTTGTATAATAATTTAATACCTATAACCTCCACAACCTGCCAAATTTTGTTTGAACAGAAGGCCAAATTAGGTATTAAGGTTGATTCTCAATATACCTTCCATATCAGCTCCCTTCCGTTTCTTTTCCGTTTGCATAAAATATTATATCATGTAAATGAATAGGACAATGGATACTATCCGTTCCGTTTCCCTTCCGTTCCATATCCTTTCTTTCCATACATTTTTTTGTCGGACGGACTGAACCGTATCGGAAACAGCGTTGTTAAGTTCTTACACTTGTACCAGCTCTGTTAAAATTTTGCTGACATTTATTTATTCTTTCACCCCTTAATTAAATCTATTACATTTTTCAAAAGATACAAATTTTTAAAATAAAACTTTCGTAATGATATAAATTGTACAATAAAAAGTATGGAACTGATACGGAACGGAAGCTTACGTATAGCGTCAATGCTATAAAAAATACGGAACGGATATGGAATGGATATCGAATAGAAACGGAAGGTATAGTGAGAATCAACCTTTAATAGGAATACCTATATTGTATTTTCTCCAAGTTGGCTTGTAAATGACGATTGATGATATTCACAGCGATCTTCATTTCCAAGCCAACCCTGACGCCGTTTATTTTTTCGATCGTATGGTAGATATTCTCTTTATTCTAAAGCTCAGATATTAATTATCATATTTTAACATAATTTCAATTTCAATGAATATGTTGTCTCCTGATTCAGGAGTTGAGTAGTGAATAACTAATAAACCAACAGCTGTGTTTGAGTTATTATTTAAAAGAATTAACTTAAAAAATAATATAACTCTCAATAGGTTACCTACAGAGGTTTCGTATATTAAAAAAACTACGTTCGTTCATAATATACATAAAGGGGTGATTAATTTTAAGGAAGATTACTGTGCTAATAATTAAGTTATCCCTGCTACATAATTTCCTAATATCATGGTCCCATCTCAGGTTTGGTTTTCTTCTATATATAGGTATATATAACGGATTTCTACAGCTATTGCCGTCTCTCCGTCCCCAATTTCCATCCTTTCCTATCAAAAACCTCGTCTTCATCTAAGTTTGTCGAGGTCATCGCCTGATTGATGTCATCCCGCCAACTCCTTCTGGGCCGTCCTCTCTTTCTTCTTTCCAAAGGCGTCCATTCTAATATCTTTCTGGGCCATCTGTCAACGTTTATTCTCTTCACATGTCCAAACCATGTTAGTTGTCTTTTTTCTATGTCTTCGTGTATGTGTCTGTCCATTTGCATCTGCATTCTGATGTCGTCGTTCCTTATTCTTTCTAGTTTTGATCGCCCGCAGCTTCTTCTTAAAAAATCCCATTTCAGTTGTCATAAGTTTATTTTTATTGGCTTTTGTCAACATCTCATATTTCCGAACCGTAGAGGGTTACACTTTGGACTAGGCTACTATAAATGCGTTTTTTTGTGGATCTTTTAATTTGTTTATTCCAGAGAAGGGAGTTCAATGTTCTGGTTACTGTTCTACCCTTATTTACTCGTTCTTGTATTTCATTTTCGCTGTTTCCTTTTTTATTAAATATTATTCCAAGATATTTACTAGATTTCACTCCTTTTATCGTACCAGTGTCTAAGATTAGGTACATTTATCTCTTCATTGCCTACTAAGTCTCTTAATTCCTCGTGGGTACCATGCTGTAATTTTTGTGCTCCATCTGTTGTCCGTTCTTCTTGCCAGATGTCCTGCCCATTGCCACTTGAGGGATTTGACTCTGTGGATGATATCTATTATGTATGACGTCTTTTACCGTATCCACTGTATTCTTTTACGGTCTCTCTTGGTTATTCCTAGCATATTTCGTTCCATTGAGCGTTATGCGACCTGCAGTTTTCTTATGATGTCCGCTTTAAGTGTCCAGGTTTTATATGTATAGGTCATCACTGGTAGTACACATTTGTCGAATGTTTTCTTCTTTAGATAAAGTGGCATTCTAGATTTGAATATGATTGAGTTTCTTGCACAAGTACTCCATTCCAACTGAATTCTTCTGTTGATGTCTTTTAGTAGAGATCTCGAGCTGTGTATCAATTGTCCCAAATATAGGGTGGTCCGAACTGTATTCCGGAAACTTCGGCAGCATATTCTGCAGGTAAAAATAAGTAAAAAAGTTCTTATAAATGTGTATCCTAAAATGCTTAGTTTCAGAGATACAGGGCGAAGAAGTTTAATTTTTATTTCGTTTTTTTCCAAATAATTTCTGAAGTAAAGTCAATATTTGGATGAAAATTGGTATCTGGGAGTTTTTTGACATGAGAAATTTGATTTTGATGTCAATATGACTCCTACTGGTAGAGGGCGCCACCTACATGTGTTTTCACTGTTTTGAACCGTAATAACTTTTTGTCCATACACAACCGAAAATGTCCATAAATTGTCCATAAAACTACCGATCTCTGTGACATTTTACGCAAAAAATATCTCTTTGTAAAAAGCGCTACGAGCAACCGTTCTTAAGATATTTAGAATGGAAATAGTCAGTACATGTCATTATTGACGAAAAATAAACACGTTGAGTAGATAGTTATTTCACTGAAATGATAAATTTGAGAAATTTTTATTTTTTTAAAGAAATCATAATTTTTACTGCAAAAAATAATGATAAAAAAGTTTCTGTTGAACTTTTGACACAAAAACATTTAAAATTTATGATTTCAGTCTAATAACTATTTAGTCAATATATTTAATTTATGGCAATGATGACAGGTATTGATAATTTCGATTCCAAATATCTCGAAAACCATTACTCGTAGCGATTTTTACCAAGAGATCTTTTTGACGTAAAAAACGTCATAAATGTATATTTTTTTACTCAGTAGTTTTATACAGGTACGGGCGAAAAGTTATTACTCTTCAAACCAGTTAAAAAATATGTAGGTGGCGCCCTCTACTAGTAGGAGTCATATTGACATCAACATCAAATTTCTCATGTCAAAAAACTCCCAGATACCAATTTTTATCCAGATATTGACTTTACTGCAGAAATTATTTAGAAAAAATCGAAATAAAAATGAAACTTCTACACCCTGTATCTCTGAAACTAAGCATTTTAGGACATACAATTATACGAACTTTTTTACTTATTTTTATCTGCAGAATATGCTGCCGAAGTTTCCGGAATACAATTCGAACCACCTTGTATATGTATTCTTCTATATTTCCAGTGACAATTTTATAAATTAGTATTAGTACATTTACATATTTTGAGTCTAAAAATTAAATTTTTAATATAAATATGAGAATTTGTAAAATAGAAAATTAAAACAAGACGCTGATTCATTTTAGAACAAGATAAAATTGTAAAAGTCCTTTAATTTGCTAACTGAATTTTTTTAGTGATCAAAAGCGATCAAAAAACAATAGAAATTTTTTTTGTGTTAAATCTATCTATACTATTAAATACATACATGTGTGGATATTCTATTTAGAAAAAAAATGATTCAATGGTAAATAATATTAAAGTACGAATTTTATTGCGATTTTTTTAATGTTTAAGAACTTCCTTACCACATGCATACAAAATTGCACTATATTGCTCCCATAAATGTGTGCATAATAATACAAACTGTGCAATTTAATATTAGTGATGCGTGTTTCTTTAATTGTTTGTTGGCTTTAATAAACTGCTAATATAATGGATTATGATATACCTACTACGATATTGCGCTGTACTTTTTCATCCTAAATAATAATGGCATTTTTATTTGCAATGTTACGCAATCGTTTATAATGGATGATGGATTTATAACTAGAGATGAGCAACAAATCGCAAACAGCGATTCAAGAATCAAAGTCGCAACCTGCGATTGGCTCTCATAGGAAACCGCGACTGCGATTTTTACTATTTGCGAGTTTCAATTTAGGCAACCAATATTACTATAGTTGCGATTTGCGATTTTGCTGCGATTTGCGATTTCTTCTGTTTGCGAGTTTCAATTTAGGCAACCAATATTACTATAGTTGCGATTTATGATTTGCAATTTTGTTGCGATTGTGATTTTGTAAACTAGGACCGTGATAACCTTCTATGTGCGAGTTTGAATTTTTAGGCGTTGCGATTTGCGATTTTGTTGCGAATGTAATTTTGTGGTCCATTGAAGCATTTTATAGCTTCAATGGACCATATGACATAAATTAGAATTGATTGGCGTATTTAATTCGTTTCGATCACTTCCTGTTTCACCGGAAATGACTACAATTTTTGATTTTTAAATGGCACCCTCCGTATTTTTCTACTTTATTGGAAAGAAGATGACACTCTCCGAATAGAATGCCTAGTACAATATTTAAATATTAAAATGGCAATCGCAGGTTACAGTCGCGGCGATTTAAAAATCGCAATCGCAGTTTCAATTGCGATTGGAGAATCGAAGTTTTGCTCATCTCTTGTTTTAACCATAAATCAAAGGTATTTAACAATTTTGAGAAATACATATTTAAATACGCCAACTCCAATGAAAACAACAATACAGTAGGCGGAGAATTTGTTCATTTCAGTTAGCACCATTTCTGTTGTTAAAACATTTTAATTGTGACAGTAACATTCCTGAATTATCTAGAAGAGCTGTGAAATTTTACCAGTATAGTCTACAATATAATGTGATAAATTAAAAGCAAAAACTAAATCGAATTTTTAAAAAGAAACTTTTTAAACGTGAAGCAAAAAGTAAAAATCATAAGTCATTTTGACGCTCTGATTTCGAACCGCTCCTCAAGAACCTATATCTTTAAGCATTTCCGAAGATATTTAAAACTAAATTCATTCCCCATTTACTACTACTATTCTCCTACTCTGTTTAGACCTGATGCTAATGTTGTCCCAAATCTATAATACGGGATATGTCTCTCTTTCTCTATTGCCTCCTTGGATTTGAGGTCAATTCCTATCGTGAAGACCTGACCATGGCCCTCCTCTCTCGAGTTGATGACTAGTCAACTCCATGTCCCTACATTGGAGTTCTGTGCTTGGATAAGGCTCAGCAGGTAGATGGCGCCTTCCCCTTTGCTCCTCGGCACAAAGTCCGTGATGGTCGTTTCTTTAGGGATGTTTTCTCCCTTCACTGCAACCAGTCCCAGCCCCTGCCAATTCTTAAGCTTAGGTGCCGTTTCCACCAACCAATCCGCCGATTTTTGAGATGCACAATCTAGTCATCTAAAGTCTATCCCCGCAAATCGCAGTTGACCCACATTTTTTGGATGGTTGTGTTGCAATCCGCCTGCTACTTCTTCATCTAGTAATGCCTCTTCTAGATCCGTTTGCTGGTCGGTGCATGGTCAGTGCTGCCTCTGGGCAATCCTTTGGCAGCACCGCCATTTTTACTTGTCCAGCAATAGCGGAAAAGCTGGTGATACGTTCCTGCTGCTGGTGATGAATTCACCAATCATTAACAGATTCAATAATTTTAAAAATTTTAATATCATCAGTATAAATTCAAATTCTACAATGGAGAAAAACAGTTATAATATGCTCATTAAAATATTTTCATTAAGACAATGTTCTGCTAAGGATCTGTATAAACCGCATCAACCTGTCGCTGTGAGTCCAACGCATCTGTGACAAATTCAGAAAAGCATATTAGGTTTGCCGCTACTGATCTTTTTGAATAAAAACCGTGTTTTTTCTCAATCATTTTTGAAATAAAACGTTATGTCTGGATCGGGCTTTACACACGAGCGTTACAAATTAAATTGAAGCTTGATTAATATAAAAAGTTTAACAATGAAATAATACAGAAATATTGAATAAAATTATTCAAATAATTTCAGAATTTTTTAGCACATTTAGAAACTGATTTACAATCTTTGGTTTTCAACAAGCTTAAAGAAAATATTCCATTAATTAATTACAAGTTATTTTTCTCTATCATAACGATGGTATGCTTTAGAAAAAATAGACATTGAGTCAGTAGTGAAAACTTTTGAGTGTAATCATTTTAAAGAAAAATTCCAGGTTGTTTTTAAGTTATTTGTTTTGATTAAAACATTACTGGTTATTATTATATATACGTAGGTATAACTTTTGATGTTGCAGCAATATATCAAAAGTTGATTTTTGTAACGAATACAGCTTCAGAAGCGATTTTTTAAAAAAAATTAAGCAGTGAAGGTATGTTGTACTATGTTGCTACGTTATTACTATCAAATTTATTACGTTATTTTATTACTTTAATTATGTAAAATGCCACTGCAGAACCGTTTTTTAGACTTCTATTTCACTGCCGATACTCAGGTTTGCCCAGGTTTTGTTCAATAAATAAACCGGTCGTAAAGGTGTAGATATTATTTAAAAATAATATTGTACATTAAATCTGGCCGAATAGCACCAAAAGTTTTAAAACTTTCAATTTTCAGTTTGTTTTCCAAATAAAAATGTACCAATTTGTTTTCTATTCTTCTTATATTTCATGGTGAAATAAGTATTGCCTATGCATGCATATAATGCGGTTTAAAATAACAATAAAAAATTATTCTGGGGTATTTGTTTTATAGGTAACTGCGTATGTTTTTGGTTTGCTTTCGATTATTTTTATATCTAATTATTTTATAATTTTAGGGTCTGGAATTTTCGTCTCCCCATCGGGTTTGTTGGAAAGAACTGGCTCAATTGGTATGAGCTTTGTGATATGGATGTCTTGCGGGTTGTTATCCCTGTTAGGTAAGACAACTTTTATCTATATTTTTTTGGGTCATACATTATTAGCGTTTAAATTAGTTTAATAGTTAGTAGTCAGTTTAATTTTGTGAAATTGCAGTAAAAAAATAAGGCATCGTTTATCCAAGGGTATCAAAGTTTTTAATATTAAATATTTACTGAAGTTTATTTATTGATCAGATATTGTGTTGCAATAATAAACAAAATACTACCTTATACAGAATGTCTAAAAATTTATATTAAATAATTACTAGCTTTAAACGGTAATAATTTGTTTAATTTAAATGGAACATCCTGTATTTGTTACGAGAATCAGATGCACAATTTAATTGTCTATCAAATTGTATTAGTACTACAACTATTTTTTACCTATCTCTTCAAATTTTCCTAGAAAATGCATTTTTTTATAATTTAGACCTCATTTATCAATATACCCATGGAATATTGACATTTTAGATTATATTTTTAAAGATGTAACAAATTTTCAAAGAGTACCAGATACTAATATTGTCCATATAGCTTGCTTATTTCATTAAAAAATAAAAAACTGTTTAAATATTTTTTGTTAAAGAGGACCAATTAATATGATCCCAGTATTCAAACTACATTAATTGACTGTTTACGTTGATTAATAATAATTGCTCCAAAACAGAGACGTTTATTTTCATAACTTATTATTACATATATTGATTTCTGAGTCAAATCCACATTTATTTAGAATAATTTATTAATTATTAAAACAGTTATTGTATGTAATAATAATAAGTATGTAATTAACTAATTTTTGAGCGGAAATAATGGTGGTCTATTTAATTGGTAGGTATACTCTTTTACAAAGATTTAAATTGTTTTCTTTTTGTAAACAAATGGGCTTGCAATATTACTATTTTTGCCATCTGTACATTTTGTACATAATAATTATGTTGCTTTAAAAAAATCTAAAATGTCAATATTCTATGGGTATAGTGATAAATGAGTTCTAAATTATAAGAAAATGCATTTTCTACGAAAACTTGAAGAGGTAGGTAAAAAATGGTATAACACAATTTGATTGGCAATTAAATTGTGCATCTGATTCACGTAAAATATACAGAGTGTTCCATTTAAATTAAACAAGTTATTGTAGTTTAAAGCTAGTAATTATTTAATATAAATTTTTGGACACTCTGTATTAGGTAGTAAAATTTTTATTATGGCAACACCATATCTGATCAATAAACAATCTTCAGTAAATATTTAGTATTAAAAACTCTGATACGCTTGGAGAACTAAAGCCTTAAATTTTTTACTGCAATTTCATAAAATTGAAAATATTTCAAAAACGGTAATGTTTAAGTGTGATAAACCTTAATCAAATTTACCTTTATTTTAATAGTAGTAACTAAAAATGTAATAATATACAGGGTGTTCCATTTAAAAAAATACAACTTTGATATTTTTTATTTATTAATATTTATAAATTGTAGTTCTAATACTCCTTTAACGAACCCAAAACTTACAATTTGTAAAAATCTAATCGTTTAGCTACAATACTATGTGTCGTATGTGGTGAACAATCCTGTATATTATATCTTACGAATTACAGGTGCATTGTCCTATGCCGAACTAGGCACCATGAACACGTCGTCCGGAGCCGAGTATGCTTATTTCATGGACGCTTTCGGGGCACCGCCGGCGTTCCTCTTCTCCTGGGCCAGTACCCTGGTGCTGAAACCATCCCAAATGGCCATAATCTGCCTGAGTTTCGGCAAGTACGCGGTGGAGGCATTCGTAACCGAGTGCGAGCCGCCGGAAATCGTCGTCAAAATGGTTGCCCTGCTAGCAATGAGTAAGTTTTACTTGTTATTTTAACTTTAGAGTTTTCTCTCTAAAGTTTAGTTTTAATTATATGCTGATAATGCTAACCTGGTTAGTGAAACGCGCATCCAGTGCAAAAGTAAAAGTGTTTTGGTGTATTGTGGTGAATTAGTGTTTTATTTTGCTGTTGTAACACCAAAAGTTCCAACCCCCAACTGTAATCTAGTTTTAATTAGCGTAGACGTTTTTTCCTGTAATTTCAATTTAAAATGTCAAAAATTAGTGATCTTAATTTTCAGTTAGTAGAAAAAGTTAACAAACTTTTAACTTTTTCCACTAATTATATTTCAAAATTTGCGAGTAATGGAGTAATGTCATGTTGGCCTTCATCATCATCATCAAGAGAAATTCCGTCAAGATTGTTTTGTATCTTATAATTTATTATTTTATGGTATTATAAGCTAATTATTAGGCTTTCTCTATGGATACAACTGACTACCACAAGCTGTTGCTAGGATATTCTATTAATTTTAAATGTATTAGTTTAGACATTGTGAATGATTATAAAAAAAGTTAAAGCTTCATTCAGAATCTCGTAATTAGTGGAATAAATTAGTGGTTTCAATAACACTTTATACTTTTTAGTTTACGATCATTCACAATATCTAAATAAACATAATTAAAATTAATAGAATATCCTAGCAACAGCTTGCAGTAGTCAGTTGTGTCCATAGAGAAAGCCTAATTTTTAGCTTATTAAATAATCAACTTTTCTAACCACAATTTTTCTTGACGGATGATAATCAAAGCCCAAAATAACTTTCATCGCAAATTTTGAAGTATCTATAATTAGTAGAAAAGTGAAAATTCATAAAAAAGCTTTAGTATTTTGATAAAAATCGATATATAGGATGGCAATGGGCTAAAATGAAAGAAAAAAAAAATTGAGCTGTCAAATTTGACAGCTGTCAAAAAAATTTCAAAGTTGTCGATTTTGATAAAAATCGATATATTGGATATCCCCTACCCCATAGTCGGTTTATATTTTATTTGTCTCACAAAAAATCGAGTTTTGGTATCTTAGTATATGACATAAATTAGGATTGATTGACGTATTCAATTGTTTTCGGCTACTTCCCGTTTAACCGGAAATGACTACAACTTTTTATCTTTAAATAGCACCTTCGGTATTTTGTTACTTTATTCGATAGAAAATGACACTCCGAATAGAATGACATATCGTATGTCAACTTTTGACATTTTCAAATATGGTTTATTTGAAATTACAACATGCAATTCATAACGACAATTTAACTCGAAATACCAAATATTATGTGGTACCAAATTATTCGTAAAAAAATGCTTTTTCCAAATATGCTAATAAGCCACCCTCGTTCCATTTGAAAAAATTGAGATATGATTAAAAATACGATTTGGGCATCTTTTAACCGACCAGGACAAGACACGAAAAACAGACGATCAAATTTACTTTTTCAACTAATTGAAAATTCCTTCCACTAATTTTGACGTTCTGAATTCTTACATTCAAATTAGAGGAACAAACTTCTAGGCTAATTGAAACCACTAACTTATTCCACTAATTGCGAGGTTCTGAATGCAGCTTAACCAAAGTAAGAAACAGTCTCTGTGTGCGTCCAGCCTCAGGAAACTGGCAAAATGTAGACAACAAAGTTTCACATCAATAATCATTACATATAATACTTCTGACTTATTGCTATTTTTAAAAAATTGATGCATATTATAATTACAATTCGTCCTTATCATACAGATTTGGAAAGAATAAAACAATAAAATTTTGATTTTCAACTTTATTTTCTCCTGACGGATGATAATCAAAGACCAAAATGACATTCCTCGCAAATTTTGAAGTATAATTAGTGGAAAAGTTAAAAGCTTGGTAACTTTTTCAACTAATTGAAAATTCCTTCCACTAAGTTTGACGTTCTGAATGCTTACATTCAAATTAGAGGAACAAACTTCTAAGCTAATTGAAACCACTAACTTATTCCACTAATTGCGAGGTTCTAAATGCAGCTTAACAAAAGTAAGAAACAGTCTCTGTGTGCGTCCAGCCTTAGGGAACTGGCAAAATGTAGACAACAAAGTTTCACATCAATATTCATTACATACCTCTGACTTATTGCCATTTTTAAAAAATTGATTCATATTATAATTACTATTCGTCCTTATCATATAGAGTTGGAAAGGAAGAAATTTTCAATATTTTATTAGATACTCTATGGAGTGAGCAACTAACAATTATTATTATTGAAGACATTTTGTGATATGAAATTGCCGCCTTTTTCTGAAGATTTTATTTTTTATTCACTTTGACATGTGTATTATTAGTGGAAATACAGGGTTTTTAAAGAAACGGGTGGATATTGGAAAATTTAATCTTATTTGAGCTAAATTATTGAGTATTTGGATGTTAATGGCGCTTTACATAAAGAAGGATACATGCATGATGTACTGTAATACAGTACTGTAAGAGCATGTCGTACCATTCAGTGATGGTGGTCTACGACTTTTTGAACCTCGTCGGTTGTTCTAGCTCAAAAAATAAAAATATTTAATATTGTTTGTAAAAATACCCGCTTTTAACTTTAATTTAAAATTATATATCTTAGAATTGCAGTTTGTAACAGCTAAGGTTAGCTCCTTTTTGGTCTTTTTTATAGATATTCTTTTATTATATTAAACGAATGAATGGTTGCACTGTAAAATATCGTAACAGAAACCACTCTGTCTTGAAAAGTTATTGTTGCAGTCGTTTTGCAGTTACGAACAAGGCAAGTATTTCGTTTCATTTATATCTGATGTAGACAAAAGCAATCGTAGCAAAATTCTAAACAGGGTCATATTTACATCTCTTTTTAAAATAAATAAAAATAGATAAATTAAAAATTGATTTATATTTATTTTGAAGTAATTTAATATGAAGTAATAAAATAATAATTTAAAAGTAATACTTTGAAGTACTAAAAGATAATAATATACATATTAAGTATATTATTACCTTTTACTTTGTCTCTGTTCTGTATGAAACTATCTTGACTGAACCACAAAATGAAAAATAACATCTTTTTTTTTAGTTTTTCTAAAATTGTAGTGTTAATTGAGATTATAGTTGAAAATAATTTTCACATTGGCATTTGCAAAGTTAAATTTGCAATTCGACGTTTCGTATTCGTGACACTATCATCAACTTTCTATGTCAATACAAATCAATATGTTTTATTTCACTGTTCAATGCATTTTATGAATATAAAATATGTTGAACAAACACCAGGTGACAGTTTATAGTTTCACGTGTAGCGCGCAAAAACACTTTTTTCGAGAGACCATATTAAACAATTTTGTTTAACCCAAAACAGATATATCAACAATTAAAAGTAAAAATGTTTGACAACCAGAGAAAAATGCAGTGCTTATATTTCCAATTAGAAGATAAGGAAAAATTGCAATTTTTGATTTTGGAATATTACATTAAGAAAATATGTTAGTTATAAACGTTGGGTTTTACTTTTTGTTTATACGATTCCTTTTTGTGTTTTATTCCTTAAATCTAATTTTAAATATCCGAACTATCGTATAATCTAAAATAACGGCGTCCAGTTGGCTTGGAAATGACGATGAATTGATGTAAAATTATATGGGGAATATACAGGGTGTTTCAAAACAAATGCGAAAAACTTCAGGGGGTGATTCCTTGTTCAAAATAAAGGGTAGTTTGCTTTATAAACGTTGGATCAAAAGTCAACCATTAGGGAGATATCGAGGTACAAAGATGGCGGAAAAATAATGTTTTTATTCTTTATCTTGAAAACGAAAAATGATAGACTAATGAAATTTTATGGAAGCATTACTGTTATGAAAACATACTTTCTGGTAATTTTCTCACTTTTTTAAAATGAGTGGAAGTTGTTGAAATAAACAGGGGTAGTTTATTTCATTTATCATTCTTGTTATCATTCTTGTTAACGAAATTAAAAAAAAAGCTCATCAAACACATGCAAAAAAATTAATTTGGATAGTTTAGTTTGTTTAGAAACTTTTTTATCTCTTGTGATTTTTTGATAAAACTCACCGATTTGAAATTAAAATATAAAATGTAAAACATTACATATCAGGACAAAAAACATTTTTAGATAAAGAATCTAGTGGGCTGCTCTAATTTATTTAGGAAAAAATCTAGTCGGCCGCTGTCACTTTTTAGGATGTTTCTAATATTATTTTATTGACATTACTCTACTGCAATACGTTATTATCTAGATTCTTATTATTATCGTTATTATCACTAGATTCTTTATCTAAAAATGTTTTTGATCCTGACATGTAATGCTTTACATGTTATTTTTTAATTTCAAATCGGCGAGTTTTATCAAAGAAACACAAGGGATAAAAAAGTTTCTAAATAAACCAAGCTATCAAATCATTTTTTTGCATGTGTTTGATAAGATTTTTCTTTAAATTTCGTTAACAAGAATGATAAGGGTAGTTTATTTCAACCCCTTCCACTCACTTTAAAGAAGTGAAAAAATTACCAGAAAGTGTGTTTTCGTAACAGTAATGCTCCCATAAAATTTCATTAGACTATCTCTTTCGTTTTCAAGATAAAAAATAAAAACATTATTTTTCCGCCATCTTTGTACCGCAATATCTCCCTAATGGTTGACTTTTGACCCAACGTTTATGAAGCAAACTACCCTTTATTTTGAACAAGGAATCGCCCCTTGAAGTTTTTCGCATTTGTTTTGAAACACCCTGTATAATTTTACATACAAAAAATGACAGCGATTCTCCTTTCATAGTCATCGCTAACGCCGTTTTTTTTTTCGATCATAAGGTATTATTTGAAGCGCTGTTATTATACTAATAAAAATATGAAGTAGTTTTTAAATTCCCCATTCTTTTTGTGTTATTAAAAATACAGGAAAAATTGAAAAAAACAATTTCTATCTGTCGAAATATTGTGTTTTAAAGGAAAAGGATTTATTAAAATTGGATATTTTTTTAAGGAGGATTTAAAAATACATTTTAGCATTGGAAAAATACAGAAAACTCTATGAATTAACTGGGATAGGGTTCATTTAAAAAGGAGAATTTTCAAAAAGGCTTTATGAGATAAAATGTACTTGACATTGAATAAAAATTCTGGTTTTAGGCATTTGTTGATGTTTTGAAAAGACAGTGTAGAGAAAGAATGGATAATAATGACACAGCCGAGAATTAATTAGCTCAGAGTTGAATCATGGGAAAAATAACAATGCTTTTCAGTGGCGGAGAATTACATTTTTGTGTTATGGATTTTATTAATATGTATAACTGGAAAATAACTTGGTTATTATTTAAGGTTTTCTTAAATTTTAAGGTTTTTAACTTTCACTTTTTTAATTTAAATTTTGAATATAATGGGTGCCTCCAAAACAGAAATGTCAACGTTTAAAAGTAAAAATGTTTAATCTTTCCTCGCCATTTTGCTTTTGACAGTAGACAAAAATTGTTCCGAGCTAAAGAATATAGTGGATATATTTTCAATATAGCTTAATTAGAGAAATTTAAGGGAAATTTGTTATTTTTAATTTTTACGATTTTTTTAGGCGAGAATGTCAAAAGTTGACATATGGTATGTCATTCTATTCAGAGTGCCATTTTCTATCGAATAAAGTAAAAAAATACCGAGGGTGCCATTTAAAAATCAAAAGTTGAAGTCATTTCTGGTGAAACAGGAAGTGACCGACAATAATTTCAATACGTCAATCAATACGTGCCAAATTTCGTCTTTAATCTGTAAAATAAAAAAGTTTTAGGGATAAGCCACTTTTGAGAAACACTCGGTATGTTAATACAGATGGACCTAATTGGTGCTTTTTTATTTTTTAATTTTGTATTTTAACAAAAAAAGTAGTAGTAAAAAAAAATTAAAAATGTAAAGGTAGTTTTTTTTCTAGTAGTTTCTTTTTTTTTGATTAACAAAAAATAACTATTTTATTTTGTAGATTTTCTTACTGTGCAAGTTGCAAAATACCCAGAGGACTTTTTTGAAAAAAAAACATATTTATAAAAATTTACATACAGGGTGAGTCTTAAATAAGTGCAAATATTTTGAGGGCTGGTAGATCTCGATAAAAGAAACATATTGTCTCTTTGTCTTTACCGATTTTCAAATAAGTCCAAAATAACCGAGTTATTTTATTTTGAAAATTACAAAAAAATATTTTTTTCTTAAATTTTGAGGACCATTGAATTTTTTTCTGGGGTTTATTTGTTTTAAATTTGATTTTAAATTGAAAATTAAAAAAAAATGCTTAAATTCTATTCTATATTATAAATAAATAAACTACATTACATGTAGTTAATGTAGTTTATGTAGAGGGTGTAGTTTATGTAACCTATGTATGTAACTTTCAAATATCAAAGATTTGAGGTGAGGTTATAATAAGTTGAAGCTTTAAAAACACATATTGTATTTAAGAAAACAGGAGAAATATGGCTTTAAATATAATATTTACATCATATTATCTCTATTACACCTCATACAAAGGAAAATTATTCATAATATCAATGCATAGTTTATTAACGTAGTTTTCATGTAGTTAATGAACGGGAAAAGACGTAGTTTTTTAAGAAAAACTACACGTAGTTAATCAGGTAAACTACGTCTTAATTAACTACTTCCGAACCCTGCTTAGGAGTAGCAAGGTACGGCTGCAAGGTACGTTTGCCAGGGGTTGTAATATACTATCCTTAAAATATTTGCACTTATTTATTGACTCGTCATGTATAAACTATTACCATTAAACATATAAAGTTTTACTAATTGTTATAAAAAAATCATTCATTCAAATTTGTTTATTGCAATAATTTATGTTACGCCGTAGACAAATTCTGATTAAAAATATTTTTAATTAATGTCTGTTCTTTTTAGTTGTCATCTTGTATGTCAACTGTTATAGTGTGAATCTCGCCACTAGTGTCCAGAATGTGTTTACGGCTGCCAAGCTCGTTGCAGTGTTGATTGTGATAGCAGGTGGAGTGTACAAGATGTTCGATGGTAAGTTACAATTATAGCATCACAGAGAACAACATTCTCTGTGATAGTACCTTCTAAAATCTGTCCAACAAGTCAGGGCAGATTTCGACAGACGGCATTCAAAATATGACAGAAAATACCATTTACTTGTGAATTAAAATGAAATCAGTCACTGTTATGTATCCTCTTGTTGGGCAGAATTTAAAAGAAATTTATAATTAAAAAAATCGCGAATTTTAAGTAAAAACCCATATGAACATCCCTGGTGGATCCTGTCGACACTTTTATATATTAAAATATGTAGCACTTATTGTAACTTTTGCCCTTAAAAATTTCATTCGAAATATAAAAGCACTTAAAAAATTATAGCACGAATAAAATTATAATAAATCGAAAAAAATGAACCTTAAAGGTTGATTCTCATTATACCTTCCTTATCAGCTCCCTTCCGTTTCCCTTCCGTTTACATAAAATATGATATCATGTAAATGAATAGGACAATGCACACTATATACGTTCCGTTTCCCTTCCGTTCCATATTCTTTCCTTCCATACATTTTTTTGGCGGACGGACTGAAGCGTATCGGAAACAGCGTTGTCAAGTTCTTACATTTGTCCAGCTTTGTTAAAATTTTGCTGATATTTATTCATCCTTTCACCTTAATTAAATCTATTATCTTTTTCAAAAGATACAAATTTTTAAAATAAAACTTTCGTAATGATATAAATTGTACAATAAAATGTATGGAACTGATAAGGAACGGAAGCTTACGTATAGCGTCAATACAATAAAAATACGGAACGGATATGGAACGTATATGGAATGGAAACGGAAGGTATAGTGAGAATCAACCTTTAGAATGACTTTAACCCTCTGTAGCTACGAAACAAAGCAGAATTGGACATATAATCGGAATCGGACATAATAATATGTTGATATAAATAATAAATCTTATTTTTAAGTGAGCAATCTCCCCACGAGATGTGGTACATGTTTTTTTAAACATCCTGTATAGTACCCATGAACATTCTAGTGTGCAATGAAATTATTTAGGAAAATATTAAAAATAATTTGTTTCTACGTCAGAAATTATTTTCGTTAATTTCAGGAAACACACAGCATTTAAAACACCCGTTTGCAAACACTCAATATTCTGTGGGAAATATTGCAACTGCATTTTATACGGGCTTGTGGGCCTATGATGGTTGGAATAACCTCAATTACGTCACTGAAGAAATTAAAAATCCATCCAGGTGAGTGAGATAATTACAATTTTTCATATCATATTGCATGTGCATACTTTACGTAATTATGCATATCCATTAAGTTTGGTTTGATTTTATCAGCAGCGAAGCTTCCGCATTGATGCGGGTGATGCGTTGATTGGAAATTTTTAATTTTTTTCTGAATTAAATAATATTTTTTGACACATAATTATGTCAATTTCTAATAATTGATATACATATAGGCGTTGATCCGACACATAGATAAAGGAAACCAGTTTTGAATGGAATGCTCGGCTTGCCGATAAAACTTATAATTGTTTTGGAGGGCATACGTTGTAGGGCGCTGCTAAAGCGGTTGCTAAGAACAACCGCAAACAAGAATAAACAATTTTCTCTTATCAAAGTCAGAATCATAGGTCAGAATCTTTAAAAATTATAAGTAGTGGAGTGCTTTAAGCCCTTACGGGATACAAACATCGGAATTCATTTACTGTGAACGAATTTTTATAAAACTTTTTGCATTGTAGTGTTAATAAGATATATTACAAAGTTTACCTATTTAAATTCGTTGCTTTTACTTTAGTATTTAAATAAACACACATATACAAATGCATACATACAAGATGGCTCCACATTCCGGAAAAGCTCTGTATCAGGAGGGAACTTGAGATTTTCACTTCAAACTTTTTACAAAATATGTGTTTAATGGTAGTTCACATTTCAAAAACATTTTTATAGTTATACAGGGTGAGTCAAATTTAGGTTTCAAAAATATCTTAATACCATAGAGTATATTAAGTGGTTTTTGAATTATGACCAAGTCCATGAGGACGCCAATCTAGACGTCCAGGAATCTTCGTATGATAACTTCTAATTGAGACGATCGACTTATTGTAAGTTTATCGCTAAAGAAACCGCCGTTTGCCAGCTTTTCAATTTGATAATGAATTGCACTTAAGGAACGTACATATTAACTAACGGACTATAAAGGTGCGTATTCATTATCCGAACGAACGAACGAACGAATGAAAGTGCGGTATATTTAGACGGAGACCGAACGCATGCGGCCGTTCGTTCGTTCGTTCGCTCGACCATCCGTTTCGAGTCGGTACATCAAAGGCGTTCGCCAACAAATGCCTCCGGTCTTCTCGTGCGGTTCTATCGTACGGTCCCCGTCCATACCACTAGCGAACATTCGTTCGTTCGTTCGTTCGTGCGGATAATGAATACTCACCTTAAGAAGAAGATTAAATTACGCAAAACTTATGTCAAGAAGGCCTGCTTCGGGACCAGAACTTACTAGAAGTGTTGACTAGGCCCAAAAGCAAATGCATGGTCTTAATGTAAAAATTACGAAAAATGTTAGTGTCTTCTTCAAAAACGAATATTTCCAACAAAAATAAAGCTAATGAGATGAACCAAAAAACAAACCATCGAGAAAGGATGTATCTAGATGATAAAATGATTTTTAAATTTCTTGCTGTTTTAACATATTCCACAGGGCGTTTCAAACTTTCACCAAAATATCAACATTTTGTTTTGCCTCGTTTAATTAACAGATGGGGAGTTTCATTTTTAATTTAGAAAAAGATACTAAAAAGTAAAAGAATTGGGCTACACACTGCTTAAAAAATCATCAAAATCGGACCATTAAAACAAAATATATTAACCTTTAAAATATATCAAAGTTTTAAGGTGCCCATTTTTCGTGCCTGTGTATGTATTTCAAAAACTATACATTTTAGTCATATTCTTTTCTAATAAAACAAACCTTTATTTTTTTACTAGAATCATAATAATAATAGCTTCCGTATATAGCGTTTAACGCCTTGGGAGTAGCAAGGTACTGCTTGCTATACTAGAGCCGTTCGGTATACAAGGAAGGTAATGTGGCTAGCACTACGCTTCAACCGCCTATTATTACCTCAGGATTGTGAATCCCAAGTACTCATTTAGGCTGAGTCGACCTAGGTACCCAAACTATTTTTATTTTAATAAAAATAGTCGGTTGATGAAATGCCGGGTGTGGGAATCGAACCCGCACCTTGAGATTCATAGACGAGAGCCTGTAGCTCTACGCCGCCGGGCACCTTTTACTAGAATCCAAAAATGAATTAATATATAGGGTGTTCCATTACAAAAAACATAACTTTGATGTGTAACTTTTTTCGGGGACACCCTGTAGAACTCTACATAATTTTAGAAAATGCATTAAATTGACTTACATAAGCTCACAAAATTTCACTTCAATACAAACTTTTGTTCTCCTTGTAAAAACCGCGTCGTATATGACGTGCCACCCTGTATAATTCGATTTCAATCAAAATTTCAATGATTAGAATATAAGCAGAATAGGTATAGCTTATGCATTAGATTTATTTATTTCAATAAATTTACTTAAAAAAAGAATTAGAAAAATCAAAACATTAAGAAGGAAATAATTAAGAATTTACTAAAACTGCTAAAATAAAAAATTAAAAGCAACGAAAAAAAATGGGTAAACATTTTAGTATTTTATCTATAAAACATAATACAGAATGTTTCACGTTAATACATTCACAGTAATTGAATTCCGAGGTAAAAGTCTATGGGCACTCCACTAAAGATCTATCAAAAATTAAATCGCCCTTATTGAAAAAACCGAAACCGTTTAAAACGTCCATTTTCAAAGTAATTATTGCTATCTTGTGAGTTTAATTTAAATTTTATTTACTCAAACCCATGATAATTGTGAAAAAGAGGCATTAAAAATTAAAAAGCTGTGTGAACTGTGAATTGCAAAAATCAGCATGGATCGTGGCATAACATCGGTTTCCAATGTTTCATAGGTATTTCATACATGTCCTTATATAAAATAAAGTTTCTTATACGCAACACACTGTATTTTATTTAAAAAAATAAAATAAAATAATGATATATTTGAATAAATAATATTTAGCGACATAATTCCGGAAAAAGCTAAACCGCTCCGAAATTATCAAAAGCTTTGGAGAGCGACCGTTTTATGCATAGCGCCAAATAGTATTTACATTGTCCTTATGGGCACTTTCCAATCTAAACTTGTTTCTTTTATCCATGGTCCGACAGGAATTATGAACGATAGTCATTTTAAAGGCCAATGTGACGCATTGACATTTTTATGGATCATAGGGAATACATAATTGAAGCTGAGATCTATAAAAAAATCATTTACGTAAGATATTTTATTAGAGCTTATGTTTTTATACTGACAGTTATAGCTAGTTATGATCTGTAAGTTGCTCGTATATCTAAAGAAACATGATTTTAGTAGCATAAAATTCTTTACATACTATATTTCTCAGTATTTCAATAAAGGGAGAACTTTTTGGCAAGTACAATAAACTTGTCTGCATTTTATGTTTGATATCGAACAAAAAATGTTAAATATTCATCCTATTTTAATAATTTATTGTGTTCTATGTTTATCAAAATATTAAATAATTATACGTCGTTTTTTTGTCGAAAACATAGCAAATAGCATGCAAATTTTTGAGGTCTGCGTATGCTCACTCCACATGCCAAATTTGAAAGATTTTGGACAAGCTGGTTATAAGTAATTTAAGTAAAATCGCATCTATTTTTAAATTAAAACCGAACATATAATGTTGGCATGTGTATTTAGCATAGGCCGATCTTTAAAACAAACTATTTACTTATATTAAAAAACTATTTTTTAGCTGTAAAATTAATATTTGGACAGTTCAAAATCTGCATAGGATTTCCTATGTTTCCAACGACGATGCATCACTCGGTATAATTTACTTACCGTTGGCCGTCGTCAGTTATACAGGGTGAATCTTAAATAAGTGCAAATAATTTTAGGGCTGATAGATCTCGATAAAAGAAACATATTTTCTCTTTACCGTTTTTCAAATAAGTTTTTAAAAAATGCTTAAATTTTGATAACCACTGAATCTTTTCTAGGATTTCTTTCTTTTAAATTTGATCCACTACCTATGTTGCCATATTATCAAAAAATTATGTTTTTTAATTAAAAACTAAAATAGTTTCCAAAATTTTTTCAAAAAATTCCAAATTTTTTTTTCGCGAAAAAAAACTCATAATCGTGTTTCTGGGGTCGAAATATACTACCCCTAAAAATATTTGCACTTATTTAAGACTTACCCTGTATAAGCATCTTTAATATGTCTTTCTATATTTTTAATTAACCGAAAATAATTTAAAATTACGTTTCCAAAAATATAGCACACTTGATATTTTGTTATATTCTCCTTCGAAATACAGAATTTTTAAAAGTTCGCCACTTTTAACTAGTAGGCTTTGGACCCCTTATTGGTGATATGCCCTTAATGGAACTCGAAAACATATTTTTCCAGCAAGAAGAGGCACCGCCTCAGAACGCTGAAGTTATCAGCAAATTTTTGCAGCCAATTTTAAGAACAATTGATGAGCTAACCAAAATTCCAGCCGTTGGCCGTCGAGGCCACCTGACTTAGTGCCCATGGATCTAATCCTATGGATATATTTGCGGACGAATAAAGGTTCCTTATTCTTCCGTATAATCTAGACAAGAATTAGAAATACTTAGCAGTTATGAGAGGGTATCTTTCACCCCCACTGAGTTAATGAATTCCGCGAAATGTTCAGAAACGGCCCCGTCTGTCCATAACAGAAGATGGTCGATATAACAGAAGACGGTCGAACACCTGCAGCAAAATCTCTTGTCTTGGTTTGCTATTTATTTTTATTGTCATCAGATATAGTTTAAACGTGTTGATGTTGGTTAAATATATTTTAAATTGTTATAAAATTCTGCATCTCTCATAGCAAATATTATTTTCGTTTTAATTGATGCTCACAGCTAGAATATTTTTGCATTACAGCCGGTGCCATTCAAAGCCTACTTATTTAAAGTGGGCGAATTTTTGTATACTCTATATCTCGAAGAGGAATCGAGCAAAATATCAAGTGTGTTATATTTTTGGAAAGGTAATTTTAAATTATTTTCAATAAATTAAAAATATACAGGGTGTCTCATATAAAAA